ATATAGAAAAGATTAATACCAGAAAGTGTTGCCTGTAGGCCATCCATGATGATAAAGAGGCCAAGAAAAGGGGCCATTTTGTGGACATAGTCGACAATTTCTTCTTCTTTGCTAAATGCATACCCCAGTATTCGGCCGCAAGTTATAATGGCAATGCTGGCTGCAAGGAACTCGAAAATCGAAAGGATTAACACTGCAAAGAGAGTTAATCGTGCTGATTCTGGTTTTCCTGCTCCAAGCTCGTTCGAGATCAAAGTGCTGGCAACACAATAAAGATTGTTCATATGTTTTTAGAGCATGTGATGGTATAAAGACTTAATATAATATTCAAGGTTGATATTTTTTGGACACGACAAAAGGTAACGAGCTTTATTAGCTTATGAACAAGAACAGACCTTGCGGCTGCACCAAATGAGTATGGTATGTGATAGTGCAGATAGGAAATCGTGAAGCTGCAGTTCAGAAATATTTGTCATTCGCAGGCATAATTATGGAGAAATTAAAATACAAATAAAACATCCTAGATGTTCAAGCTAATTGAATAATACAAGAGGATATTTCAAAATCATAAAGTTTCAAACAGCATGAAAATCATTTAAGGCTGACCATATAGAAAGAACTGATGTCTCTATCTGTGGATTTGGCAACACACCAGACAACAACAGAATCAACTCGAAGGACCACCACTCGAGACTGCATAAAAATTTTTTCATCCAAACACGTCACAACAAAAAAAAAAACACCAAAAAAATATGCCACTAAAGAAAAAAATGAAATAATTTACCAAACCATAGCAGCCGAGGGTATAGCAAGCCCAGAAAACTCTTTAAGCGAAACCATAACATCCTTTGAGAACGAAACAAACGTCTTATTGCACACTGGAGAATACTTCACATACAACACTAACAAGACAACGTTAAACCAATATGATAACCCCACAGACAATGCAGCCCCCGTGTTTCCAAAGCCCAACTTGAACACGAAAGCCCAACACAAGGGCAGCTGAAAGCCCAGAGCCGCTAATGAGCTCCACACCATAGGGAATATCAAACTCTGAGTCTGCAAGTAACGAACAAGACACTGAAGAATCGCGTAAGCGAACAACGTGGGAATAAGTTGGATTGCGAATTTTCCTGCTTGTGCCGATATTAAAGGGTCTTGGCCCGTCATAAGCAACAACTTTTCGGTTAAGATGAACAGAACGGATAACGGTATGCATACTATAACGAGACATAAAATAGCTCCGTAAGTGAAATTTCCCACTTTCTTGTATTGCTCGGCTCCATACGCCTGCCCGCAGAGAGTTTCAAGAGCACTAGCCATCCCAGACTGCATAGCAGAAAGGACATTCCTCTTGATTAAGAAAGTAAATTTCATGAAATGGCCCAAATTAAGCAAGAGATAATTGTATCTAATATAGTAAGATAGATGTACACACTCTTGACATGAGACTTAATTAAGAGGCAAAAATATGCAGAAAGTTGAATAAATTAAGAAGAGTCTAGTGAATAAAACAGGTAATTGAATTGAAATCATCCCCATTGCCCCGTCTTAAATTTTGATCAAAATTCGTGGAATCAATTCAAAATCTCATATTCCGAACAGTGAATAAACACATGTTCTCANAAGAAAGGGAAAAATGGGTACTTACGACAACACTGAAGCCGGTGACATTGCAGAGAGAGGTGGCAATTGAGGCGCTTGATAAAGAGAGTTTGTCGAGATGGCCCAACATGAACATGGGCGAGACCCGCAACAGGAATTGAGAGACCGTCACCACAATCATGGGCAAAGCAATCCAGTTTACGCGGTTGAGCTCCAACCCAAAAGCGGCCCAACCCGTTGGCCCATTTTTGTTAATGACTTCTCTGTTTTGCTTGGGCGCTACTAGCCTCTCGACCTCCATGCCTTGGAAAAAACAGTTGAGAAAAACTTGTCAATTAGCACTTTTTTTATTATTTCTAATGAAGCTCTGTATTTTGACTTGTAATTGGGCATATACACACATATATAGGTACTGTATTTTGACTTGTAATTAGGCTGTTATTGCTCCGAACTTTCATGCTTTTTTATAGATCTTGACGGATGACGGGATCCTTTGGATATTTTATTTTCTATGGCTCGAAATTTGATATTTCAATATTGTATAATTTCTCCACAAAAGTAGAAGGGTTAATAAAAATTAAAAAATAAATATCTGGTCGAATATACTCTTTATATAATTACATTGGACCTAATGTACGTCATGAAATTTTTTTAACAAAAAAACAATTTAAAACAATCGTTTGGTAGTCCTAGTGGGCTATATAGTTGAGTTAGGGTTGGCACATGAAATTAAAACGCGGTGTGTAGTTGCCTAATATTATTTTACAAATTAAAAATAATGAGTAAGTTAACTAAATTATTTGTCAAATACTGTAAATGAAAATCATGAAATTTCTAAACCATAAAATGATGAAATGACAAATTAAATAGATAAATAAATAAATATATTTATTGAATAATACTTTATTTTGATTACTATATTACAAACGCATGCACCTCACGCCTATATGGTCTAAAAAATTATAAACTTTTAATGTTAAAATAGTGCGTAGCCCGTACGATGCATGAGAAAATAATATTAAATAATAATTATAAATTAAAGATGCAGGTAAAGAGCATTAAATAATAATAATAAATTAAATATTTGGGAATAAAATGTGATATAATTTACGTATATCGGTTTGTTATACAATATAAAATTATCCTGTACAAAAAAACACACAAAATATGTATATTTAAAGTATTGAAAATACTTAAAATAACATATGTAAAGATATCTAAAATATTCTATATTATTCTTAGAAAATGTTAAGTTACCTAAACTTCCACTAAACTATTTTGTAAAGACAAAATGTCTAAAAGCACCAAAAGATATAAACTTTAATGTATAGAATGGGCAAACAAAAAAAAATAAAAAATCTAAAAAGTATCTAAAATATTAATTATGTACGTGTAAGTATTGAATGTGTAAAAAAGTATGTAAAATATTTTTTGAGTAAATAATAAATATTACAATCTAATATCTCACGTTGAACTTTATGAGAGAATATTTACATCGTAGATATTGTCTTATATGTCTTGTATACCGGTTTTATATTGTTACTATCAACATTGTCTATATGTAATGTATCACATGTCAAGTGATTTTGATTACATCTCTTTTATCATACTTTTGTACCAATCCATCCATTAATTCTTATTTTTTTTTTACTAATTTCACAGAAATATATTATACGAATTTGTGTATATTATAGCTCGCTCCGCTCCGCTCGCAGGCATCGGCCTGCCTCCTTCCTTTGTCAATATATGAGCCATATCAACACCTGTTCCTTCATCTTGTCCTGGAAGGTTGACGGCAGCATGTTCGGAAAGAGCTTCAGAAATGCAGACCACAGAAATTCCATGAATGGAATTGCACAGTTACAAATTCATGGATTTTGTGTGAATCTCACTAAGTGAAAACAGCCTGGACTACATTTCACAGAAAATCAAAGAAATTGCATATATATA